TAATAGAAGACCCCTTTGGGAAAAAAACGTGTCCCACATAATAGAAGACCCCCCTATTTATTTAAGATTTTTTTTTTAAATTGAGGATTTTTATTAATGTTTTACCCCGAAACGTGTCTATTTCTGGAGGTTTTCAACTGAAAATTTTCAAATTGGTGAGTTAAACTCTATATTTCAGCTTTGAAAATCGTGAAAATCCTTTCTTCAATTTTCAAAATCGCTTCGGTTCTCTCTGAGGACTTTTTTAATTACAAAAACTTGTCAGTGTAGTCACTGTGGAGCCAAAGTGTAGTACTTATTGGACTCAGACTGCTACAAATCTATATTATATTCTCAAAAATGGGTGAAAAAGTTTATTTTCAAAACATATCAAATAAATGGATAGATTACAACCAATTCTATCGTTTGAGCTAAAGCATACGCTGTAAAACATTATTCCGACGAAACTATTTCATTTCGAATTCCTATCTCTCCTTCATTCCAGTTATCAGATTTCCTGAATATATTTATAATATTAAGACAAGCGACGCAGAATGTTAAACTTCAAAAAAAAACATTGGTCATAATGATTAATTTCTAGCAGTTTCTGTTCGTACATTTCGAACATTTTTTTTTCTAATGTGTTTCTTTTCCTGTTGCTATTCGCAATGTGTTATTCTTCTGTTAATCGAAATTATCATTATTTCGTATTATTCGATTCAAGCTTCAATTTAATGATTAAATAATCTTAGTATAGACATTGGTTCTATCTTCGCCATATTCTAACAATCTTATATGTATACTAATGGACTGAATAAGACACAAAATAAATATTTCTAAAAGTTAGAAAGTAGTTTGATCACGATCTTTTATAACTTATACTACCGTTATGAAAAATCACAAAAGATTATCTTTCAAATGGATCGTATAAACTTTTATCTGCGCAAAAAAAGGAGGCTAGCTTTTTGCGAATGCTCATAGAAATATTCGAACTATTGAAAAGCAATGATTGTAGAAGTTTTCACAGCCTTCCCAGGGAATAAAATAACGAAAAAAATGCCATACTTCATAATGAAAGGGATATAATCATGCATGTTTTGTATTTTCATCGTTTAAAATGAAATTTTCGCGAGTTACATTTCATGATTTTGATTTCTAATCGAAATCATTATAATGAAAATGCTTAGAAATCAAAATCATGAAATGAGAGTGGTAAAAATTTTGATTTTAATCAATGAAAATAAGAAATATGCATGATTATATCCTTTTCATCATGAAAAATGCCATTTTTTTAATTTTTTTTACATAAGAGCCACCATTTGTTTTCATTTTTTTATTCCACGGGTATTAAATCTAAATGATTGCTACGACATGTAATGGGGAAGAGGGAACAAGCTGAAAAATCTTGACTCAAACCTATGATCACTGTTAGTTCCTTCGAAAATATATGTGAGTTTTACAAAACTTAAAAACATAATATTTAGAAGAGAAATTAGAAATTATAGATTATAAAATAAGATAGCCGTTGATATTAATTACTTCCTATTGTTTGTTGCTGTGGGAAGATACACAGTGATGTTTTTCCCAGCATCTGGTTACTATAATAAAAATTGAGGAGCCGTAAGACTTGAACTTAAACTTGCATTTACTAAATTCTTCGAAAATAATTGTGAGTGTCGAAAAAATCGCAAAAATACGAGAGTCATAATAAAAGACCCCCCTAAAAAAATTTTCCGCTTAAACATAATACAAGACCCTGGGTCTTTTAATATGGGGGGGGGGGTTATTAAATACTCTAAACAGAACAGATTCTTTTAATAAAATAACAAATTAAATAGTACAATGTTATCTATGCATATTATAGAAATGAAATATCTTCACTCGTTACATATTATATTATCAATTGCATATGAAAATAATGATAAACATTTTGAATACCAGATGAAGATATATTCTTTTTATATGTTAAAAAAAAAACATTCTTTTTTTTATATTATTCATAATTAAACTTTTTTGATATAACTATCAAAAGTATTTATCTTTATGCTAGAATTATTTCTTATTATTTAATTTCAAATATAATCTATTGTTTATTAAAAGATTCATTTTTTTGGTTCAATAGATCAAGAAAAATTTTTTCTTATTCATTCTTCCATATATACATTATAAGCAATTTTAGTAATGCTCCACAACAGGACATTAAAGGAAAAAAAAAACGAGAGAGAAAAAAAAAAAAGAATCTGAGTCAAAAGAGTACTGTGTCTCTAGTGTCATTATCCGTATACATTAGTGCGGAAAAGTTGCCTCGATCTACATCCTGCAACATTCTGTCGTTCTCTTCTTTTTTTTTTTCTTTTGAAGCACGTTGCTCTTATCTTTAATCCGGATCGTGCTTTTTAATGTTTCTCTACTGTGATACTCCAACATACTTATTTAGAAAAATTTTTCTTGATGAATGGACGTTATTGTATTCGACTATGTCGTATATTTATTATATTATTAACCATTAGTATTTTATTTTTATGGTTAATACCATTAATAAAATTTTATTTTAATAATGAAAAAATTAATATAATAGTATTTGATGAAAATTTTCTGGACAATCATTTATATCCACCACCATGGTATATATCAAATTGGACAATAAATGATTATTTTATTCGAAAAGATAATATTAAAAAACTTGAAGATAAAGATGCAATAAATAAAAAACAAAAAATAATTATTGAATATGATTTTTTAAATCAAAAGAAAAATAAAAAAACAAATTATACAATTCTTGAATATACAACTGTTTTTAATGCACCAAAATTTTGTGGAAAATCACAAGATTTTATTTTTGGTAAACAATGTCCATATCAAAATTGCAGGTAAAACAATATTTCATTCATAATATAGAACATTTCAAAAAAAATCCATAAAAAAAAACAAATGTTATTGATTCAAACAATTTTAACCCTTTCAGGATGGCTGGTACACCGTATGTAGCACAGTCATTTGTTTTTAATAGTGAAATATATTATGCATTAATGACTAAAAATGATTACTTATACATCCGATTATGCTCATGTATGCATACTCGAATGCATAATATACATCACTATTAAAAATAAATTACTGTGAATACATAAGGTGTACTACCAATCCTGAAAGAGTTAATGAGCTGTTTATAAATTAAATCAAAATCGCTTGAGATGATTAGTAATAATATTCACCATATATATCAAAAGTACTGTATTCGAACATCAACCCTAACTAATTATAGACTAATCTTAGACAAGTTATTTATGACTAGCATGTTCAATCAGTCATTCCATAGAAATACGAACTATGATTGTGGCAGACTCAAGTTATTCCAATTTATTCTCATGAGACATTTTCAGAAGACAGTCAGTATATTAATAGTAAACATTTACGAGCGAGAAGAACTTTTTGTTAGGCTGATCTTCTATCTAGAGCTACAGTTTCATGATGATTCAGATGATGAATGATCACTTCTGAAGATTGTTAAGTCTAGAAAAAAAAACAATATATTGAGTTTATCGAAAGCGTCTTGGTAACACTCAAAATATGCTTCAATAGAATTGGTACTATCAAAAATGAACTATACTCTATGATATGTACAATAATCATCGATGAAAAAATTGATAATATTCATGATGTTTGTACAATTTCTTTGAATATCGCACATTAAATACTGTTAGAACATCATCGTTCATTAAAGCTGTTTCAGTTACAATTTGTTCAACAGCTCTACAAAGAATTACAAAATTGTGTTGAGATGAATCAAATTTGATTAATACACAATACTAAGGAAAAGAAGAATGTTTCTAAAATGGGAGTATTCAGCAAACATAATATAAAAATCATTGTCGTTGAGTAATTGCTTGAAGAACTATGTTGAAATGATAATAATAGCAAAAGAAATTCCATGTTCAGAAAAAAAACATGAATTTTCTCTATTTCAATTGAAAGCGGATTATCTAGAATCATTAGTAAACTTTAAGAAACATCACATGAAAAGTTCGAAGAGTTATATTAACGATTTTTTGTTTCGGATCAATGAATAAATTTTTTTATTGGATTCAAGATTGAAGTTCTATATTTGATAGATAATAACTATCTCTATCAAATATAGAAGAATCAAAGTAAAATTACTGTTAATACATACAACACAAAATATTTCAAATCGATTAAATTTTGATTAATTTAATTTATTTATATTTAGATATACATGTAATCGAAATTTTTCATCATTTGCTGATGTTTTATTAATGCATCGATCTGATATTAATTTTAATCAATTACCAATCGAACGTAATCCTGAACAAATTTGGTTATATTGGCATGATGAACCTGGTGGTGTACAAAAACAAGCAATTTCTTATCAATTTAATTGGACAATATCATATCGTTTTAATGCTGAAGTTAATATAGGTGCTTATGGTTTAACTATTCTTCGTAATAAACCATTATCATCTAAAGAATTTAATTCTTATATAAATCAACAATTTAATAATCGACAATCAAATGCTATATGGTTTGTTAGTAATTGTAAATCAAAAGCTCGTATTAATTATTATAAGCAACTTTATTTACATTATCCATTAATAAAAGTTTATGGACATTGTATTGTACAAAATAAAACAAATCATTGTCATCGTCATTCTCAATGTGAATTTTCTGAACTTTCAAAAAATAAATTTTATTTAGCATTTGAATCACAATCATGTCGAGATTATATAACAGAAAAATTTTGGCGTTCACTTGCTTATGGTATAATACCAATTGTATTTGGACCACATAATAAACAATCTATAGAAAAAATCGCTCCACCTAATTCATTTATTTATACTGGTGATTTTATATCAGTATCAAAACTTGCAAAATATTTAAATGAAATTAGTCGAAATCGAACATTATTTAAAGAATATCATCAATGGCGTCGTTTTTATCAAGTTCTTTATCGACCAGAAGATATTGAACATTATCGTTTTTGTGAACTTTGTTATCGATTAAATACAAATCAGAATAGAATTTATTATCAAAATTTAAATACATTTTTTCTAGAAGAATGTTAATTTATGTATAATAATAAATAATTATCAAAATAAAAATTTAATGATCAAGAAAAACTTTAAATAATATATCTAATATTCTTAATAATTTAATTAAAACAAAAAAAAATCTAAGTAATTCATCTTTTGAAATTGAAGTTTTTCTTTAATAATATTATAAAACTATTTCTCCATACAGAATTCTTTCATTTATTGCATTATATTTTTATTTCCAGGAAACCAAAAAAAAAAAACTTAATCATTATTTGTTGAGTGTTGGCATGTCAAACACGTGTCATATTACATAAATTTTTACGAGCACAAATAAATCTACTGATAGACTTTCTCGCTGCTTCTCTTGTCAATTTATTATGGCAGTCGTATTTGCTTTTTCACTATAGGGAAAAAAAACAGCTCGTTAACGCAGCCCCTTTGGGCTTGAAATGTGAAACTCACATGGCTTCTTTAACTTCATTATACTAATAGAAAATACAAAGTATAAAATCTCTAAAGGACGATAGCGTTTTTTTTCCAATAATGATCGATTGTTAGTAAACACTGTGTTTTTTTTATTTCTCTATTTCGAATGGAAATTTTGTTTTTTCTTTTTTTCTTTTATGGGTGCCTTATTTTTCGTTTGAATTGTTGCTATTCGCTCATGGTTTTTTATTTTCATTTTTTCGTATTGTTTAATTTAACATTGTTTTTATTATAAGCATTGAATTAAGGTGAAACCTATCTTCCAAATGGCACCACGATGAAAATTTCAGGAAATAGAAAAAGAAATATTAGTAGCATATAATAAAAATTTGAACTAATCATTTCTCATAACTGAGGAGTTATACCGGATGTAGTCGTAAAAATGGGGCTTTTGGGTCATAACATTTTCCCGGTGTCCAATAACACGAACAATGGGAAGACGTATTTTAAAATGAAGAAAAAATTTGTACCTACAAATTGTTGAAACAGTTTTTTGCAATTCGTTTTCATTGAAATGTAGTGGTCATTTTGAATTGAGAATCACGAAAACTGTTTTGAGTTCTTTCCAAGATTTTCATATATCTGAACAATGGATGCATGTTTTAGAAATCTGTTCCAACAATTTGTAGAGAAAAGTTTGATCTTTTGAATGAATAGCAAATCAGCAATATACATTAAAAGATGGATCGGGAAGATGTTCCAGAGTGGTCAGGAAACGATAAAAAAAACGAAGTTTCCAGGTTGGTCATTCTGATCGTCTTAAACTGCTTAAAATGGTGAAAAAAACGGTGTGCTTACTGCCCTAAATGATGAAAAACGACCGCCGTTTTCCGTCAGCTCGGATTACAGGCCGTTTTTTCTCGGAGCGTAAACGGCGCCGTTTAAGGTCGTTTTCGGTGAGTAACGATGAGTAGTATTGTGGCAGTATTCTCGCCGTATAGTGTCTTATTTGCACCGATTTTCCTCGTTTACTACTTTATTTATCTTTTGTCGTCTGTCCTCATCGAAGAGGAGCACGATATTTCGTCCCCTCCTCACCTTCCGTAGACACAAGAAATAATATTTATTTATTTAAATAAAATACTTACTGTTAAACACTTAATTGAGATAAACCTAAACAAAATAAACGAATACTTACTGTTGAATATTTTAATGAGAAAAATTTAAAAAAATAATATATCTAAGCAAAATACTTACTATTGAATATATCTATGACATAAATCTAAATAAAAAAATAAATAAATTTATTCACTTGAATAAAATATTTACTATTGGACTAGATGGTGCAGGGAATCTGAATAAAGAAAATATGAGTTTTTTTCAATAGGCAATGACCAATCGATTATAGATTATTAAAAAGTACCTAACGATAATTTTAGGATACTTTTTGAAACGATGAGAAACAGTGTGAAAACGACGGTCGTAACGACCATCGTAATGACAGCCATTTTTCACCGTTTTCAAATCGTTTAAGACAGTTTACGAGCCGTTCTATGTGACATGGGTTGAGAAAAACGAACAACAACATTGTGAAGTGATTTGCAGTGTGTCTGTGTAGGAATTTGCAACATATTATACATCGCTGGAAAGTGCGCAAAACGTTCTTCCATTCTATGGTATTTACAACAAAAAATAAAATAAATTTTCAAATTCTGGTTTACTGTAGTGCCACCTTTTCCAGAATTTGCGCTGTTTTGAAACTACAAAACCGCCGTACAATCACCAAAACAAGTTCAGAACATGATTAATCGATATGAAGATTACTTTAGAGTGCCGAGAAATACGAAGAAAAGATAATACGTAGTTCCCAGTAATTAACGAAAAATCATTCACACAGTCTATTCTCGTATATGGCTTTCAAATAAGCGCCAAAACTGGGTTAAATATGTCCTATTCATATATAATCTATACATATTCTGACAGAAGACACTCAGAGCTACAAGAATATGCGCATTTTGGAAAATCGAATTTCTCAAGGGGTTTTCCATGAAATAGCAAATAAGGCTGTTGATATCTTGAACATAAACTTTTACTTGCGCAAAATTCGGAAATTGCATTATTTAGAACATTGAAAAATATATTCCAGCCATTTAAATGTCAAGGAAAGTTCTGAAATATTCTAGAACCTTTGCAGCCTTGTTATTAATGCCGTTCGGCACCTTTAATCCCGATTGGTGAAGTCTGTAATGGACAAGGAGGAAACAAACATTATGTCATCGGAGCTCCTAATAAGAATGATTTTTTTTCGTCTTTTATAAATTCGTTCGATAAAAATCTTACTGTAAAAATGTTTACTTTAAATTCGGCTCCCACTGATTTCAACTAATGAATTAATCGCTTTTCTTCATATAGAATGTGCATATAATTTTATCTATACTCAAAAAACATGTAATACTATCCATTCAAAAAGTCAATGAACTTGGTTGTATCATAAATAGCTCAGGCAAAGAAACAGTTGGCACTCGGTGATTTTTAGTATTTGAAAGAGGACAGAAAACTTTATCAAACCATGTAAAAATTAAATAACTAAGCAGTGGTCAATATTGATCAGTTCTCAGTGATCATTTTCGAAACGGTGTCCATAAAAATTTTCCCATTATATGTTCATTGTCAAGATAGTCGTTAGATAGAGAAAATTAAAGCCAATCTCTCCCCTCCAGTTTCGTTTTCATGTTATAAGTGTTGTACTGAAATCCTCAAAATCGATCAACTAGCCGCTGATTACTCGGAGATGAGCTAATATCGAAAGTTTTGATCATGTTGAAATGAGTAGCAGTGTTTGCTTTATTTTATAAAGTAACATGAAAAAACAAGACCAAAATTTCAAAATCGTCAGTTTTAATTAAGTGTTACACGGGAACAATGTATTTTCATAATATCGATTTGATTACATCGAGTTGCTTTTAAAATAAAATAAACATTACCATTCGTTTCAACATGGTCAAAATCTTCTATATCAGCTCATTTCAGACTGATCAGTGTTCAGTTGACCGATTCCAAGAGTTTAAGTAGGACACTTATAACATGGAAATGGAATCGTCTGAAGAGATCGGCCTTGATTTTCTTTATCTCATCGCTATCTTGAATGTCAACATGTAATGGGAAAATTTTTATGGTCACCATTTTAAACATAGTCACTGAGAACTGATCAATATTGACTATTATTTGACTGAGTTACTCGCAATATAACCAAGTTCGTTGACTTTTTAAATGGATAATAGATTATTATTGTTCTCATTAGAAGGTTCATTTGCAAGATTGGATCATTGTTTTTTTTTTGAGTTTTTGTTCATACATATTTCACTTACTTTCTCATTAAACAATATATACATATCAGGATGAACTTAATTAAAGATAACTTGGAATAAAATAGACTATTAGAAAAAAAATAGATTTATTTCGATAAATAATATGTCTGATGTTTAATCAATGAAGATTTTTTTCAGATCTCAGTTTTCAAATGCGAATGAATTCAATAAATCTCTTACGGTATCCATTTAGATCAATTAAGAAAAAAAAAACGTCTCCACTCATGATGCTTTCTTTTCTTACCCTTTCAATATAGAAAATTATATATTGAATTATATTAAAAATCTTGATATAATACATTTTATTTTATTCTTAAGAAATAAATTAGATAAAAATATCCTACAATAAAATTTTTTCGTTAAATTTCCATGAATGGTTGTACCATTGTATCGATTTGAGCATTAGATAATTGTTTTATATCAGCTTGTTGTTCATAAGTAGGTATTGAAAATTTAATATTAATAAAAGCATCTTGTCCACCAAATTGTTCAAGTACAATTAATGTTTTATCAATAAGACGAACAATTTCATTTGAAATATTTTTTTCATAATCATCAATTATATAACATTGTTTTTGATTTTGATAAAATTTTCCTTCATTACGTTCTTTAATAATATTAATAATAGGTAAAAGTTGATTAAAATAAGGTACTAAAGCAATACCAATAGCACCATCATTACCACGAGCTAATTTTTGAAGAACAAGTAAAACACGACTAATAACAATCGGATTATTTGTATATAGAGCACGTTTAAGTGGTAAAATTAATTTTGAAAGTGTTTCAATATCAATTTTATGTGAAGCATGTTCAAGTAAATCTAAAATACCTTAATTAAAAAAAACAACAAAACAGTTTCATTAGTTTAAATAATATTTTATTTACCTTGTAAAGCAATAAAACTATATGGATATTTTATTTCACATAAACCATCAGTAAAAATTGGTAAATAATAATCAATATTTAATGTTTCTATATTATCAATAAACCATTTTAAAGATTGTCCTTTTGTTGTATGATGAATAGTACATGGAAGATCACCACGCTCATAGAATAATCGAAATTTTTCTGAACGAAATGATCGTTTATTAAATGTATTAAGACGTTTTGGAAGACAAACAATTGAACATCGTTGACGTGATTGAATTGAAAATGCTGGTACACAATATTGAGAACGATATTCTTCTAATGAACATTTACAATATGTTTTATTTGTAGAATTAAATATATGTGGTTTAAGAACAGTTTCACAACAATAAGGCATATCGACGAAAGAGATAATCAAAATTTATATCAAAGAGTTTTTTTTTTCAAAGTGAATAATGTTTCTATGGATTTTTCTATCAAATAAGATATGAATTTTTTTTTTTTAATTTTTATTACACAAATAAAATTCTCTTATATATTAATACATTTACAATATATTATGTCGTTTATCTTAGAATATGTTTACTTGTGAAGACACATTAACTAATGATATCAAAACAAATTTAAGTCAATATAAGTTTCATCTAGAATTTAATAATCATCAACAATCGAATTCAGATAATGATGAAGATTGTTCATGTAATAGTTGTGAATGTTCAAGTTGTACTGATGAACATAATTATGATGAAAATATCCTAGTCGACAATAATACTATGCATATTAATTCACATCAATTGATAAATACAAAGGAATCAACTAACAAAACTTCTTATCCAGTAAGATTAACATTGATGAAGGGAGACTTTCAACTGATAAATCGCTTTTGAGTCGAGAGTATATGCATTATATGGATCCAAACGAGCTATGAGTACTCTGAAAAGAGTTCATGTCCTTAGCTTATTGCTACGGAGATACTGCAATTTGACGGGTATTCTCAAAATGAATGCTGTGATCCCTCTTGGAAATACCAGAAAAATTAATTTTTGAATTGCGACTGAACACTTTGCATAGAGACAGACCTTACAAGAATAGATTTCGGAGAATGTTTCAGATCTTGCCACTATTCCTATCCTAAGAAGATACAATTATGGTAATAGTGTGCCTTTTACATACATCATTCATATGAACCGACAGATCTGATGTTTGTATCTCATGATAGAAGCAAATCAAAACACTTGAACCATTAGCAATAAAATATTCTCGTTAAGATTTGTCTCTATGTAAAAATTCAAGTCGACATCCAAAAGTCGTTTTTCTGGTGCCTTTGAAGAAACCATAGTATTCGTTTGAAAAAAATATCGTAGAAATATAGTATCTCCACAATAAAAAGCCAATGGCACGAACTCTTTTTAGAGTATACATAGCTCATTTGAATCTACATAATGTACATAGTATAGACTCAAAAGTGATTTATCAAGTGGAGAACTTCTCTCATGAGAAGTTTATTGCATATCAATTGACTGGTTTTGTTTTTGAAGACATCGAATATTCCGCATATAAATGATTCACACCACTATTTAAATGAATGCAGTCGTTTATCGATTAATTCGAATCGTTCATCGATCAATTCGATGAAAGAATCTAATATAAAAAGCAAATCATCAAAAATAAAAGATATTATTAATACTTCAACTGAATTCGTCTCAACAAAACGAATAAATGAACAAATCATTGAACATCAATCTTCAATAGATCAACAAAAATTAGAACATTTTCAATCGAGTGAAAATCATGAAATAGACAAACAAAAATCATCGAAAATAGATTTCGAACATATTTATGATATAATTGATCAATCATATACAAAAATACCAAGTATATTATAAGAATAATAATAAAATAATTATTCTAAAATTTCATATTCTATTTAGTTTTATACAATTCAATAAAACAAACAAAATTAGATACAGATTTTATTTTATCAGTCAATAATTATTTAGATCATTTAAAGTCAAATATATATAAAGATCTTATTCGACGTGAAACATTATTACGTAATGGAAAAAATCATACAAAAAATTTAATTTTACTTATTCGTTGTATATGTAAAATATCTTATGAACAAGCATTTGAAATTACAAATGATTCAATGACATCAAAACGTGCAATAATTTATACAATGACAGCTATTGATTATATTCTTCAAGGAAATTTTCCACAAAGTAAAAAATTTTCGTTTTTTTTTTTTTTTGTTATTTAATAAAAATGAATCATCATTGAATTTATAGAAAAACCATTATTTAATTATATTCTTAATGAATATATATCAATGTGGTTACATGAAAATCTTCGAATAATTCAAGAAGATTTTAGTATTATTGTAGAAAATGGAACAGAAACAAATTTTTTTTTACTTTGTATTTGTCTTTTTCATAAATTAGAATCAATATGTGCAATTAATTGGGTAAATTATAAAGTTAATATAATATAATTAATTTAAATAAATATATTTTATAGGAACGTTTACAAATGATACAAAATTATCGATTAATACATTTTAATCAATTAATGAAATTAACAAGTATTAAATTAGAAACAAATAAAAATTTTCTTTTACTCTTTGGTAAACCTTTAATATCAATAATGAAAAAATCTTCAATACCTATAACATTATTATATTCTAATCGAACAGATAATGAAATAAATAATATTAATGAAATACAACAGATATTTAAAAATTCTATTGCAAAAATTCTTCTTGAACAATCTTTTACATCAAAAACTAATCTCATATCATCAACATCAACAAATTTAATCAATGTAGATCTTAATTCAAAAAATAAAGAATTATCTCAATCATCATCTATACTTAATCAACAAGAAAATCCTAAATGGAATATTATTTCTGAAACTCATACACAGTTTGTTGAACCTGTATTATTACCACGTTATTCATCTTCAACATCTTCATCAACAAAACCATTTCTATTATCTTCACCATCAGATAAATTTGAAGAACAACAAAAATCTTTGCCTTCTGAATCTAAATTAGTCTCTCTAGAACATCAACAATTATCAATATCAATCGAACCGATATCAAAGCAAAGTATATCATTGAATTATCATTTTTATAAAATAACCAATGATGTCTTTTTTCTTTGAATAGATCCATCATCTACATCCACTTCGATTCATGTTGATCAATCTTCTTCTTCTTCTTCTTCAACAAATACGATAAATAATACATCTAATCTAATCAAAACTACTGAACAAATAAACAGTTCAAATGTATCAACTCCACTAATGCTTATCAAATTGGAACCACAAAAAAATGCACAAATAATTCAAGATATAAATGATACAATGCAAAAATCCAAAACACAAAATGATGATCATTCAACACCAAAACTAACATCTTTAATTTTTTCTTCTCCTAAAAAACCATTTACAAACGATCATATCTCATCTTCATTACATCAAACACTTTCTAATAAAAATATAAAAATAAATTCAAAAGCAATATTAGATACTGAAGTTGTAAGAATTAAATTATACAAAAAATATTCATTCCATATTTTTCTGAAAAATTCTTTATAGAATGCACTAATTAATTTCTTACAAGAACTTGCTTATTCTTCATTATCAATTCAACAAGAAAATAAAACATCACTATTATCAAAACTAGTAAATTCAAAAACAAAAAAACAAATATTCATTCAAATTTCTCTTCTTTTTTTTTGTTCAGCTCGAATCTTGTTTAAAACAAAGTACAACTGATCCAAAGTCAATCATTGAACAAGTAAAAAATATTCATCCACAATTATCTCTTAGTGTAAATGACCCATTATTTCTTGCTGCATTTACACGTATTTTACGTAAAGAACTTCGAGATGCAGAAATTCTAAGAAAAATAGATTATGAACAATTAAATGAAGATTTACAAAATATTGATCATATATCATTTGAAACAAGCAATATACTTAAATTACCGAATATTGATAAATTTCTAAAAAATAAAAATATTCCTGCTGGAGATAATATTGATCAAAGTCGAGTTTTTATTGAAGTTACACATGATCCATCAAGATGTACAACAAATTCTGAATTTTCAGATTATCAATATCAATCATGTACACAACAACATCAACGATTCAATCATTATAGTAAATATATCATTAAAAAATGATATTTAAAATGAGACTGTATACCTTAAAATTAGGTTCACCCGAATCGAAGGATACAATATTATCTTCGTCTATATCGAATCATCCTCTACAACGATGGTATTGGATATATTCAAATAAAGCTTCCTTATGTAAAGATTGTATTATAACACCTAATTCATTATATTGTGAACGAAATTCACTCAATAAAAGTACTTATTCAATTACTGTTGAACATAGTGAAGAATTTCAATAAATATATTATTATCAACTTTGTTTGGATATGTAAACAAAAGTTCTTTATGATTATGAATTATATTTAGAATATATATTTTATATTGTTCTATAGTTTACATATTAAATGAATTTGTTTTAGTTTTCTGTTATGATAGAACTAATTTCTTGACCTTTTCATATTGTTGAACTTGTAGTTTCGAAAATTTTCTTACATCATGTTACTTCTAAATCTTTTAATTGTTGATCAACTTCATGAATAACATACTTAAAAGTTCACTCTTTGTATTACTTATCAATTTTTCATTTTTTTTTTTAAATATATTTTATCAGCATTTTCCTTAAATGCTCTTAATTGTATAGATTCTAATTTTGTCTCTTCATTTATTAATTGGCACGATTCTTAATCTGCTATTAGTCTTATAAAAAAAAGTTTATATCAGACTTGTAACCGGTAATGATAAATGGTAGGTTCAGTCTAAGATACTTCTTACCAGTCGGTACAGATTTTTTTCGAGTTTTTGCATTCTTTTTTTAGAAAAATCGATCATACAAATGTTGTTTTTTTTTCGCAAATCAAACCATTTCTATTAAGTGAATATTCATCAAAATATGTTTAATATAATTTATCAACTTACTTCGATATCAAGTTGTCTTGTTGAAACAAAATGAAATCATTGTTCATCATTGTAATTTATCATATATTTATTCTCATTTTATATTATTTATAGTGTATCTTTCGCAGAGCCATAATAAGAGATAATAAAGTACAGGGTCGGAAAGAATATTATTCAAGGGGGGTAACGATATAATCCCGAATAGGAGGTATGATAAATTTTATACCAAATGAAAGCCCGTGAAAAATGGGGTTTATTGATGTTAAATAGTAAGGGTTATGTAAACCTTTTAATATCGAACTTAAGAAACTTTCAGAAATTTTATACATTTTTGGGAGTAGAAAAGGAAAGTGCTAGTAATTCAAAAATGGAGTAAAATGTTTTTCTT